GGGCCCACAGACTCGAGCCGAGCTTAAGATTTGGAGCAATCAAATTGTAAATTGTGGCGCAACTGTTGACGGCTTATGTAAAATGCGACACGATTCGGCGACAAATCATACGAGGCATAAATAATTGTGCAGGCGGCGCGCCCCGCCTACCTACCCCTTGGGCCACGTTGTGCGACGCGCGCTGCAAACAAAACTTTTTGCAGCACAACGAATGTTACACACACTTTCCATGCTACTTTTTGAAAAATATATTACTATTATTATGCATTTTGATGTAAATATTGGATTGGATTTCATTTAAAATATATTTCAGTTTCAGTAAAAGCTAATATGTTACTAGATGCTACTTCGCTCTGCTCTGTTTATGATCGGCACTGTTGACGCGCTGCTCTGTTAAGGCGCTGCTCTGCTAAGGCGCTGCTCTGCTAAGGCGCAGCTCTGCTAGTCTCTGTTAGTCCCTGCTAGCATCATACTGTTATAACTAGTCATGTTCTGTTAGCGCTCTGATTGCAGTTGCTATAGAAAAACAGTCGCAAGCAGTTTCCTATTAACATAACATCTTTTAACAGCTATTTAATTTAACATACATGCTATTACAGTCATTTAACAGAGCCTAGCGATCATTTGATTGTAGTGCAATCAAAGAGTATTCAAAACAACTGTTGACATGTCAGGAAAGACTTGGTTTGTGAATTTGCGCGAGATTTTTGGCGACCTGATTGTTGATCTGGCTCTGCGGCTGTCTGCTCTGCTGGAGGCGGTCTTTGGGCGTTGTGCGAGCCATTCTCTAAAAGCTGTTGTTGTTGTTGTTGCCTTCCAACTGCGATTTAATTAAATTAGTTTTATTTATATTTGCATTTATAGCCACAATAATTTCGAATACCCATGTGGTTCTGGCTCCGCCCAGCCGCGGGCAGCCATACAAAAAAGGCAAAAATACGCAGAAAAAAAACCCCTTAAAACGTTGCTGATTGGGAATACATATACATATTTGGCCGGCGTCAGCAGCAGCTGTTTAATTGAGTTGCTTTATTAGTTTTTGCTGGCCCAAAGGCAGTTGGCCGAGAAGCCCGCGGCATGTGGTCCCAATGTGTCGGAATGTGCAATGCGAATGGAAATCCGGAGCTGAACCAGATGAGCCGCAGACAGCTCCAATTGAAGTTGTTGTTGTGCTTGTTGTCGCATTCCCGAATTGGCTGGGATTAACTTGAAGCTATCGCGTGGGGCGAGGATTAAGACGAGGCTTTCCGCTGCATAATAAAATAAGAACTTTAATTATGTGATTGGCATTACCCGGCCTTGCGCGGTCAAAGGTCTACAATTGCTTACTGCTTGCTGTCCCCCTCCCTGTTCAAGGACTTTTCTGGCGCATAGTTCATCATATTTGGGCAAATATGAACTCAATATGTTCAACAGGCACAGCTCAAGCAAGACACGCCCAAACACACACAAGCAGCCAGCATGGTTGGGCCTAAAGTGCCAGAGCGGGGCCTACGCTCACCTGGCCAGAGAAGCCAGCGGTTGGTTGTTGGGTTATCATCTGTGTTCCATAATTTATGAATCGATTTCGCTGCGGGTTTCCGCTGTGGCAACTCTGAAGCCGCAGGGGCCAGGATAAACGACGACGACGACGACGACAGCGACAGAGACTCACGATGAACGAGCCGTCGCAAATGATATCCTGCTTATGTATTCAATGAGTTTGCCTAAACACTCCAATGTCGCCGTCTACAGTCAAGGGTCGTTCCTCCAACCCAGCTCCCAACTCAACTATGCGACCCGTCGACTCGTCTATATGTATGCAATGTGCGTCTGTTGCGCCTGGCCCCAGCCACGGCTACGCTTGTGGCGCCCAGCGGAGGGGGCGGCGGCCAAAGTGTCTCTGGTGATTGTTGTTCCAACTAAAGCCGGCTAACTGTGATTGCGCCGTTAATTACTCATACGCAGCGCGGTCCGAACGCCATTAAAGCCGTCCACGCGTCTCATTAAAGTAAACCCAAAAAAAAAAAAAAAAAACAACAACAACAACATAAAAACTATCATGATTTGAAAAGGCCCAACCCAGACACGGGCACACCAAATGCAATTAAGGTACGACCCGTAACAGTTTTGGCCAAATTCGCGAGGCCACAGCAACAACAACAACAACAACAATAACATCGGCTAAAGGCAACAATTGACGCGGCCAACACCGTCGCTGCACATGAACATGGCCAACTGTTTTGTGCTCGGCTTATACCCTAACCGAAAAAATACCCTAACCGAATATTAGCAATCCAGAGATAGACATGACTATAAACAGGTGGAAAGGCGAGTAACGGGCTCTCCCCCTCATAATTAAAGACAAATAGTTGTGAATAAAAACTCAAATTGAATTCAAATAGGTTTGGTTCAAATCAGGGTTGCCAGCCCAAAAAAAAAAAACATTTGCTGGTTCAGTTCAAGGGCTGCCTCAGTTGCACATAAATATAAACTTCTCTTTTAATTGTTGAAGAAAATAAAAACATATTTTACGATACATAAAAAAGAAAGCAGAGCTTTAAAGGGCCGTGAAATTAATTTAATATTAAAGAAAAGTCTTCACGGGGAGTTGCTCCCTAAACTTTGGGCGCAGTGCGGCAACTCTGGCCAACTAACAAAAGACACGCTTGGTGGAAGAGCGAGTGTTCGGGTTCGCAGCTTTGTCGTGTGCAATTCCCAACAAGTTAATGCTTCGAATAGGCGACAAGGCAATCCTGGCAATCCTGGCAATCCTAGAGTCGATGGCAAAGTCTGCTGAACTGTCTGGTTTTATTTGTGCAGCTGCTGTGAAGGCAAGCAACTGTCAACTGCTTAGCCCAAATATGTTGATGCTTTAACAAAATATATATATATATCAAGGTATTTGTATATGTAGAGTATCAAAATGTTGTCTTGCTGCCGGCTGCTTTTCTGTGCTGTCAGCCAAAAAGTTGCACTGGCTAAGCTGACAAACGCGCTGGCAAAAGAGTGGGGCAAGTGGCAAGTGGCAAGTGGCAAGTTGCAAGTTTGGTCAGCAGCAGCCAGTGGTTGCCATTGTTAATGTTGTTGCAAGCGTTGTTGTGGCTGCTGCTGCTGCTGCTGCTTTGGCAGCTCGCCTGGTCGCCCCTGTTGGCCGGATCGCTTCCAGGCCACTTCACTTTATTTACCGTTCGCCTGAGCGTTAAGTGCGAAAACAGCGCCAGCAGCGATGCCGGCGCAACGAGCTGCACTCGTTTTTTATGGCCAGTTTATTGAAAAAACCCGCCAGCCGGGCAGCCGTACAGCCGGGCAGCCGGGCAACCCAGCAACCCATAGACGCATTCAGCCAAGCATTTGAGTCCGGCGGGCAGCGGGTCGGGTTCAGGTGATAAAACTAAAACGTTGCGTAAGGCGATGCCCGCCAAATGGCCAGTGGCCGAGGCACTTGCACTTGTTTGTGTTTCTTTTTTCATGCCACAATTGGCGGCGTCTCCCAATCGGGAGCTAGTCGTTGGCGGCGTCTCCTTTTCTCCATTTACAAGCGCTGCCAAAGGAAGTGGCCGCAAGTGCAGGGAAGTGCATCGTCAGCGTGAAGCATGCGGAAATCTAACAGCATTCACTTGTGGGCGCTGGCATGGGCGTGGCATGGCATGGTAGGTGTGGCTGCTGCACAGCTAAACGCTGAATGCGTTGCACTTGCCACAAATCAACAATCCATTTGATAAGCGAGCCAATCAAACAGACAGAAACACAAATTGATTTCAATCGGTAAGGGAAAATTATAAAATAATATTAATAATAATAATAAGAAATATAATAATAATACTAACAGTATGGCTAGTGGCTCTCAAACTGTTAGCCGAAGACAGTGACCTTCAAACGGTGACCAAAATATGTTGATTTAGCCAAAAACTAGATAATCAGCAACTTATTTGGTCCATCTACATACGTACAGTATGTATCTATGCGAAACTGTGAAAAATATAGTTGTTCAGGTATTGCGAGCAAAACAAAACAAACGAGTAAGAGGTTCTAGTCGGGAGCTTCCGACTAGGGGATACCCTAAACCCCCTTCTTCCAACATCAAATGCATGTATATATTCTATTTTAGAAGCTATATGTCAAGTTTGGGGACTCTAGCTCTTATTATTTAATTTCGATTTTCGCACCGATCTCGATTTTGAAAAAAAAAACGTGATGTAAGCCCTTGCCATTTTGTCGATTTGGTCAAAATTTTGGATTTCCTTTTTTTGATGCCAATCGATAGAACTGATCGATGCGTTCATACATACGGACGGACGGACATGGCTAGATCGACTCGGCTATTAATGCTGATCAAGAATATATATACTTTATGGGGTCGGAGATGCTTCCTTCTGCCTGTTACCCTTATACCCATTTTTAATGGGCTTAGGGTATTAAAATTGTGCGGCAAGAAGATCTCCAGTAATTAGCTACTACCTGTTAAAACTTTATCTATAGCTTTTGGTAAAGTTAAGCAGATGCGTTAAACATACAAATAGAGAAAACTGAAGGCTGGAGAATTTGGTTATTCGATTAAGAAAGAGATGCCAAGGGAAAAGATTCCTTAAAATTAAGTTTTTACCGTAATTTGCGGTGCCTGCTTGGCCACGCCCACACGTTTATCAGGTACTCTCTCCAAGTGAAGCTTCTGCTTATGCAGTTCAAATGAATGCCGCCAAAAAGTAATGAAGTGTGCGTCGACAGCGCTGCCAGCTGCCATTAATGAAGTCGCATCGAAGCTTTGACTTTGTTTACAAACAACAAAAAAGCTTTCGCCGGCATTGCAGTCGCTCCCACAAGTCTCGCTCTCTCGCTCTCGCTCTCTCTCTCTCTCTCTCTCTCTCATTTCTTCTGTTTTTACGCTCTGCCTGCGGCTACGCTCTGAGAGCGCGTGCGCTGCAAACGTCAAAATTGCAATCTAAAATGTAAACGAGGGAAAAATTGTGGACAGCGAGCGGCAACAAACAATTAAACAACGTTTAAACAAAAAGATAAAAAAAAAAAACAACAAAACTTAAATATAATAAAAAGCGCCCAAGAGAGCGCCAGCCTAGAGAAACAAATAAGCAACAGACGCGACCGCATGATAATTTAGAGTCGATTGAATTTTTCGATAGACGTCACAAAAGTCCCCACTATTCGCATATTCACAATTCCGTTCCGTCGCGTCGCGTCGCGTTAACACAAACAACTTGAACATCTCTTCTCATCTTCAATTTGTTGTACTTTTCCTCTTCTTTTTTTTGTATTTTTTTTTTTGAGAACAATTTCTAAAACAACGTGACCTGCGTTTAGATAGTGCAGCGAAAGACGAGTGCAAAGTGCGATGCCAAAAAAAAACTCAAGCATAAAACTAAACAGTTAAGTGTGCGATTGTAAGTCAATATACTAACACGACTAACTGTAACAGGTATACATAATACATGTGTCTGTGTGTATATAAAGCGTGTGAGTTTTGTAGTGTGCATGCTGTCAAGTTAAACAAATACTCAATTATTTGTTCAAATTGTGTTTTGCCTAATTAAATGGTGTGAAAATTCACTGCTAACTGTAAATGATGACTCATGTGTTGACCGTGCTGCTGCTGCTGTTGTTGTTGTTGTTGTTGTTGTTGTTGTTGTTGTTGTTGTTGATGTTGTTGTTGTTATTGCTGCTGCTGTTGCCGCACACGCAAGCGGCCCATGGCCTATGGAATCTTATTTTTAGACACCCGTCTAAGCATACATATGTATACATATGTATGTATTACTGCGGCCCCCGCTCGCACAATTGATAGATCGATATATTAGTCTGTTCCTCATATCATATACATGTATGTACAGCGTTGTGTTTTGTTTTTGCAATCAGTCCATCGTCCGCTTCATTACTAAAAAGCGCAGCAGCAGCAATAACAGCTATGCACATACATGCATACATGCATACATGCATATGTGCACGTACATAAATAATTATGCGCACATCTGTATAACAGTTAATTGAGTGCGCACAAGTGCAGTCAAATTTGCACAGCATACTTTTAGGCAGAGCAAGTAAAATGCGCTTGCTTGCAATTTCGTTGTGGCTTCTGTTTTATTCGTTTCTCTTGTTATTGCTTTTTTTTTGTTCATGTTACCGTTAATTAAGTGCACTGTTAACACGTATAATTGAGATAAATATTTAACACGCTGTGCCTGTATTTAACTGCATCGAACTGCGTGCACATGTTAATATGTTATTCGCAGTTGAAATTACGTAGTTGTTTTTTTTTCATCTTTCATTGTTTTGTTTTATTTTGTTGATTGTCTTGAAAACAGTTTCGACATCTAGTTGGCCAATTTTTGTTTATCAATGCAAAAATGTTTCGTTTTGTCGTCAAAAGTCAGCAGTTGCCATACATTTGTGCTGTGCCACAAAGTATGCAATATCAATGAAACCTTCGGCTGGCGAATGTAATTCCCGCCAAATGATTTTCGTGTTAAGGCCTCCTAAAAATTTGTTTTCGTTAAATTAAAAAAATTTTTTTTTTTTTTTTTTTTTTTTTGTAAGCGCTGTATACAAATTGAAATTGTACGCATAACTAGAGACACACACAAACAAGCAGATGCACTCACACACTTACACTCGCACTCGCACGCACACGCACACGCTCACGCACACAGATACACATGCATTGGCATAGTATTGTTGTAGTTAGTTTTGTTCGCAACTGCGCCGATCCATGGCTTTTGTTAACGTGCCGCAAGTGTTGAAGACCTTACGCAATTTGCAGTTGATCCAAACAACGACAGCGACATCTAAAAAAATAACTACAACTAGCGCAGCAGCAGGCGGAACAAAAGCAACAACAAAAACAACAACAGCATCGGCAGCAGCAGCAGCAGCAGCAAGAGCAACAACAACTCTAATAGACAAAGCACACACAAGAACAGTTAAAGAGAAAATTAGTTATTGCGACGCCCTGCTGCGCCAACTGAGCAGCAGCCGCAGCCGCAGCGCTTCAAATTATCAACGTCAGAGCAAGCGGAACAGCAGTGGACAGACGAGAAGGGGAAACAATACTGAAAGCTTCTGCACATATGCGACAAGCTTAAGCAGAATGACAACAATGTCGTCCCAAGAAGCAGCCGTCGCCAGCAGCATGGCCCAAGCACAGGCAGAGGCTCAGGCTCAAGCTCAGTTCACAAGAGAGTATTACGACATGCCCTATCAAGTAAGTACGAGGCGCGAGAGAGCGCAAGCGAGAGCGGGAGAGTGCCCAGAGACTGTGACGCAGCACGCACACACCCACACAAGCACACACAAGCACACACAAGCACACACATGCACACGCTCGGTATGCAGACATATGCATATCAATCAGTTGCAGCAAAGCTCATTAGCTTTCTGTACCAATTGTGTCAGTCAGACACACGCACACACTCGCACACACACTCTCTCTCTCTCTCAAACACACTCACACATGCAGGAGCATATGTTTTGCCCTGCTCCGATGTCCTATTGTGCACTTAATTGCTTTTGCTGCATCGTTTTCTCCTTCTTAACAACTGCTTTCTATTCGATCGCTTGTCACATGCAGCTAACCCAAGATGTTGTGTGTGTGTGCGTGTGTGTGTGTGTGTGTGTGCAGCCTTGTGGCACTGCAATAAATCTATGCAATTTCGCCCACCCCTTTCCACATAAATACATTTTATTGTATCTTTTGCAGTGCGAAATGAGCGACTCAGCACCCAATACGCCCGGCCCGTTTTCGGTACCAAAAAAATACTATCGCCATGCGGCTCACAGGTAAGTCGAAAAGTCACCCGTCAATTACACACCGAATATCTTATGCTCTATCAATATTGAATGTGGGGGGTATATATTACATAATGTCGAATACCTGTAATATTTATAATATCCTAAGAAGTGGAAGAGAAATGCTTTAAAATATTCCACCTTCACAAGTGAAATTTAGGTGAAATTGTTCTTTCCTTTTTGTCAAACCGATTTAAAACTTTTTTCACATATCCCTTTTACTATTTCACAACATTGTATCTTTAATTCAAGCTCAAGTGGCTTCGCCTTTCAGAGTAAAACCTCCTCCACAACTATCGATATATCTATGTATATATATATCCATCAGATATAGGAGGTCGTCTAACTACATTGTATTGTTCAACCACAAGCAGCAAATTCCATTGGCAATATTCGCTGCCCCACAGCTCCCCAGCTAGCGTTACCTTGTATTGAGACCATGTGACGTCACATAAGCACCGTGCCGGGACTCGAGATCCAACGATTACGGTTAATAAACTCAACGTGGGGCTGACATTGAGTGTCGCCTCCTTTGCTCATTAGGCTGCCAAGACTAGCCCCAAGCTCTTATCATCAGCGACACTTGTCGTTGTTGCTGCTGTAATTGTTTGTTGTTGTTTTTACTTAACCCTGTCACAGCAGGTGACATAGGTCAGGCTGTAGTCGGCGGCCATTCAAAGTGCGCCCAACAGAGCCACCTGAGTCTCTGCTTAGGTCGTTGGGGCTCTGTGCTTACGAGCTCAGTAAGTGTCAAGGTTAACTAGAGTCCAATGCATCAGATACATAGTATATACTTACCTGTATAGATATATATATGTATATATATATCGTTATTATATTATCTTAATTAGTTTAGCTCAGCTTTTAAATTGTGTTCACTCTCTTTCTGTTTTTTCTCTTTCCCCCTTTCTCTATATATATATATATATTTCTATCTCTCTCTCGCACTCTCTCTTTTTTTCTCTTTCTCTCCCTCTATCTCTCTTTCAATATAATTATTTATAAACAAATCTCATATGAAAAATAAGTTTTGCTCGTAAAAAAACAACTTTTGAGGGCGACTCAGTTCGAACCCTTGCATTTATTTAAGCATATTTGATAGATACAATTGTTGGATTGATAAGTATCTGAGGCTTGCAGTATTGCAATTATAAATTACAAATAATAACACAAATACTTATCGCAAAGAATCATGTTAAAGATAAGTGCTTAGATTTTCGTATACCTCCATTTCTCTCAGTGTATCGCACAGCACTAGCTTTGTTGCTTTGTGCTCCACACTTTTGTGGAGAGCGCTAATCGCGCTGCCCACATAGCTGGAATTTAACCTGTTCAGGGCCAATGCCGCCGAATGCAAAACTGCTGCCTTACCTTATCGCCTTATCTGAGGCGACAGACAGACTAACAACAAACAGCAGTAGAACACACTCGGCTACAACAACAACAGCAACAACAACGCACATCAGTGGGCCTAGTCGGAGGCGTATTTACATAAGAGCGGGCACGTAGTTTCTCAATACACTTCACTTCGATTGCCTTGGCTTACTCGGCTGGTTTGTGACAGTGAGGAAAACTATTTGGAAAAACTGCTTACGTAGCTTGAACTCCATATACTCTTGCAAGAGAAGCCACATATTTAATCCAATTAATATTGAATTGAGGCGAGTGTGTTTCGCCTTCGATGGGAAAACTCGGTTCCGACATTCTTATATTAAATCTGGAACGAATCGGATTGCTATATCATTAAGCTGTCAAAGAAACTATCGGGCGAAAGCTGAGCTAATAGCTGAATAACTTATTTGGTCTAACAGAGTATCCTAGCCAAATGCAACAATAATACCAAATATATATATGAGCTATATAGTCAGAAGTTATATTTTGCGTGAACAGTTTGTATGTTTTTTAAGATATTTTAATATTGGAAAACTTCATCATAAGACTTTTGTGGAAAACAAACTTGTTTGGATATCAAAATAAGTTAACATGAATCACGAATCGTTGAAAGGGTATTGCAAGTGCGGCGTCGTGCATATACAAACCGTTTCTTTTTGGTGTCATATTATTAACCAGTTTTCAAGGCGTAAACTTTTAAGTGGGCACTTTGGGCGAGTGTCAACTGCATTTTCCAATTAGACAGCAGGTACGTGTATATGCATACTTATATACATATGCATCTATATGTATCTGTGTGTAATGTATACATATGTATGCATGTATATGCGTATAAAGCAGTCTGATCTTTGCATTTGGCGGTCTGTTGAATTTGACATCTAATGCAGCTGAAATTGACACACAGCAAACTGTTTTGCTCGCGGCTGTTGTCTGTTTGAATACCCTACCCTAGCCTACCCTAACCCTATGCCTAGCACCGGGCCCGTCCCCTGTCCGCCCTTCCATAACACACTCGCTTCTGATAGCTGTGTCTTCGGGTCGAAGCATAAGCATTTATTTGCAGTTGATGTGTGCCAATGTTTGCCTATTTTTGTTTTCGTTCAATGGAATTCGATTTCGATGCTTGTGGCTGCTGATATTTGTTTCTGCTTAGCTCTTAAATCGTCCAATCTTTAAAATTGAAAAGCCATCTGAACTGGGAGTAAATAAACAGATGAGAGAATGAGTCGAATCCAAGCATAAATACACATCAACTGAATAATCGGACTGCATTGTAGAATGCGAGCAAATTGTGAATAATGTGATTCATTTTATTCAAGTTGTCATAGCTAAAATTAAACGGAATTAAGCAAGTCATAGCTGCGATTATGTAAAACTTGAGTGGCATTTAAATACATACATACATACTTGCATGCATACATACATATATGTATGTTAATATATCCATGTTTGATTCGGTTCGGGAACCTGTGAGTGGGTTCGCTCCAATTCGATTGCTGGTTCGGCTCATGATTAATGAGAAAATGATATTCGATTGGAGCCGATTTGCAGCCTCTATGTACATAGATTTCTGGGAAAGATTTTTAACCAATTTTTTAGAAATATATGTAAATATTTCGTTGAAATCGTTTTAACCAACTTTCAGAAATAATATTCTAATCCAGCTGTCAACATTTGTTACATTCTATTAATATGCTAATAAAACTAATCGAGAGGCAAGAAAAAAGTCATAAGCGTGCCTCCAATTAGTTTATTATTTAAATTATGATATACAGATTGGCACAGATTCAAATTTGTGTGTCTCCGTTAATGGGAAGGACAAGCTGCCTCTGAGCTAATAAAATATTTATGAATCCACGTAGAAGACACACTCAACAAATCATTAGTATAATTGAGCCTACAGTGGGTGGAAAATGTTTGCGTTCAGGCGAATATTTAAAAACCAAACATTTCATATGCTAAATAATGCATGCGAGAGTATACTACAGTGTGTGCTCGATAAGAGCAACCTTCAGAATTGTCTATTACCAGGACATCAAAAGGGCTAAAGCTTAAATATTTAAATATGTTTTGCTAATACAACTAATAGACACGAATATAAATACAAATCAAATTGCTCTGATTTGAAAAACATTTTTAAGACAATTCATGAAAGACTGAATTTTTGTCTGCACTGTGACTACATAAAATGTAAACGAAAATCGAAGCCAATTTGTCAGCCAAAGGTGTCAACGAATTCAAATTATATTTGCATAGCCCGAACGCCAACTTAATTATGTATGTAAGCACATGCATATGTATGCATGTATGCGTATACTTGTTATTGTGAACAAACGAATTCATAGAGCTTATCGGCTCTAAAGATACACACACACACACAAACACACACACGCACAGACATATGCGTATGTATACATATTTGAAAAACGCGTTTCACTTTCCAACAACAGAACTGAGAGAGGCCCGCTTAGCCGAGTCACAAACCCACGCATAAATCACACGCCCAGGCTCAAGCTGATTTAACGTGTTTGTGTGCGTGCGTGTGCGTGCGTGCTGTCTATTGTTTGCGGTACTTATAATTTTTCATTTGCTTTCAAATGTCTTGTCTTCCGACAAGCACTTTGAAATTTTCCTAGGTCCCAGCTATTTTTGAGTGTACTTGTCTACGCTTTATGGCGTGAAGATAAAAAGCAAGCAGAAGCGCCAAAACGAACAAGCACAAGCAAACCGAATTTTGAATGCTCTATTTGGTGATATTTTATCAAAACCACAGACTGTCCTCATAACAATTCTTGGAAATGAATTAGAACTGCAACCACCAAATCTTTGACCGACATTTCCACCAAGCGGAATTGATTTTCCGAGAAGTGTGAAACAACTCTTACACACATTTTTAATAAACATCTTTAAAAGTGAGTTTTGGTATAATCGGATAGTAGACATAAAAGTTTCATTCAACAGTTTTTCGCGCTTTTTCCACGCATGCAGGTGAAATTTCCTAAAACCCCGTCTACAGCTTGCTCAATCAATCAGTCCGGATAACCAGATTTACATATATATAGAGAGAAGATAACGGCATGCATGCTTGCAGATATGTGCATATGTATGTACATATATGTATGTTTATACATGCGACTTAGTCACAGTTTGTTAACACTTGGCCAAGCTTTTTCACCCTGACCGTCAGGCATGTTAAAGCTAAAATGCTCTCGACAAGAAGAGTGGCAGTCAAAATAAAAGCCAAACAACTTTGTGTTTATTGCATAAAAAAGCATTAAAACAACAACGACTCAAATACACGACGGCAACAACAACAACAACACAACAACAACAACAACAAGAGCCACGACCACGGCAGAAAATACTAGCACACAGCTGTGCTACGCGCGCCTACTCTTTGACACGCAAATGCGGAGAGCTTTCGACAGCGACGCTGCTGCGAGAGAGAGCATGCGCGCGTCGCTCAGCTGCCTTCGTTCTCTGAGTTTTGCTTATTTGCCGTTTGGTTGTGTTGCTTTTGTTATTGTTGTTGTTGCTTGTGCTGCTGCTTCCTTCCCATTTCTACTACGTTGCATTCGCTGAGCGCCGCTGTCGACGCC